TTCAGACAGAGATGTTCGCTTTACTTCCAGATTTTGGAAGCGGTTTCATGACGAGTCGGGCACTCATCTCCATTTTAGTACATCATTTCATTTGCAGACCGATGGTCAGAGTGAGCAGACTATTCAGACCCTTGAGGATATGCTGCGTGCATGTGTGTTGGATTTTGGTGGGTGTTGCGATACGTATGTTCCGTTAGCGGAATTTTTGTATAACAACAGTTATCATAATAGCATTTATCGACCTCCTTTTGAGATGCTCTACGGGAGGAAGTGCAGGACCCCGATTTTTTGGGTGAGATCGGTCAACGAGTCATGAGGAGTACTAAGGTGGTACTCAAGACCACTGAGCTGATTCGGCAGGTTCAGAGCAGGCTCCAGACCGCTCAGAGTTGGCAGAAGAGCTATGCTGACAGGCGCCGGTCAGACTTGGAGTTCCAGGTGGGAGATATGGTTCTCCTGAAGGTGTCACATTGTAAAGGTGTCATTCGATTCAGGAAGCGGGGAAAACGGGGCCCCAGGTATATTGGTCCCTTTAGGGTTTTGGCTCGGGTCGGCCGGGTTGCATATCGTCTTGATCTTCTAGCCGAGCTCAGTCAGATTTATAGCATGTTTCATGTCTCTCAGCTGCAGAAGTGTTTGGTAGATGATTCCGCAGTTGTGCCATTGGAGGATATTTAGGTGGATGACAACCTGAATTATATTGAGAGACCAGTGGCGATTTTGGATCGGCAGACGAAAACCTTGAGGAACAAGGTTGTAGAACTAGTGAAGGTGCAGTGGCAACACCGCAAAGGGTCGAAATGGACTTGGGAGCCCGAGGAGGAAATGAGAGAGCATTATCCAGAGTTGTTCGGGGCAACGGACTTCGAGGACACAATCTGATTCAAGTGGGGAGAATTGTAACACTTGAATCTCGATAATTTTCTCTTTCGCCCTTGCATTATTTAATTTGTCCCATTTTGACCTTTGAGTTGTACGCGGGGAGTACAACAAGGTACGCTTAGCGTACAGGCAGTGAAGCGAGTACGCGGGGCATACCAAGTGGTACGCTTAGCGTACTCATGCGAGGGTATTGATCGGGGATCCGGAGGCATACGCTGGGCGTACAGAAGCGTACGCGGGGCGTACGTAAAGACTTTGAAAACCCTAATTTTCGGGGTTGGCCACTATTTAAGCATCCTTATGGACTTGAAACCCTCATTTTATCAGCCTCGTTTTCCTCCTTACCTTACACTCGAACCCTAAGTCCATACTTGTGTGTTTTTGAGCTTAGAAGGCCATTTTGAGGTGCATTTTGGTGTTTTGAAGGAAAGGGATCATCTTTGAAGCTTCATTGAAGGAGTAAAGGTTTATAGATCCAGAACCCCATCATCTTTTGGCACTCATTTAAGGTATAAAGTCTTGAACTTGATGCTTATTAGCTTAAATCTCTTTTGGTTTGGATTTATGGACCCTTTTGGCCCCATTGATGAGATCTTATGAGTTCATATCGTTTATGAAGCTTAGAGTTGCCACTCTTGGTGTTATTTTGGTCCTTGAGTCATAAAGTTGCCATTTTTAAGGCTTAGATCCATCCATGCATGAGTTAGGGAAATTTTCATGAAAGTAGAATGTTATGTTTTGAGTTTGGAATCATTTGGGGCATGCAAAGTCACTAGGTCAGTGACTTTATGGGTCTAGACATTGATTAGGACTCATATATGTGGTTTGGACCTTTGGGCTAAGCATTAAGTGCTTAATGGAAAAAGTTGGCTTAATAGACTAGTACGCTGGGTGTACAAGTCTATACGCGCAGCGTACAAGCCATCAAGCGTGTACACGCGGCGTACAGCTGGGCACGCCCCGCGTACTCAGTCAGAATGGGCTTCGCATCTTTGGGCCTCGGCTTGGGCCATTTCATGGACCTAGTTGATTTGGGGCCTGAATGGGCTATCTGTAAGTATGCTTTTGGACTAAGGAAATTATTGGGCTTTAGGGTAAGGCCCATAGGAGGGGTTTGGGCCCAATTTGGAAAATTGGGCCATAAGTGGGCCACAAGTGAGCCTTGGAAGATTAGTTAGGTTTGGGCCTTTTTATATTGTGGATTTGGGCCTTAGTCATGGATCAAATTAGGCCAGGGGTAAAATGGTCATTTTACCCCAAGTATGGAGTATTGAATTTTGATTGGAACCCAAGTATTGATTGGGTGTTATTTTTGTATTGATAGCTCGGGGAGTCGTCAGGGCAGCAACTAGGGATTTCTCTCTGTGAGATTCAACATTTGAGGTGAGTTTCCTCATTGGGTTTAGCGGGCCTAAGGCACCAATGTCGACCCTTACTGATTATGTTAGGATGCTAGGAGTCTGCGTGACCCTTGCATGTGTTATGTGCTGCTATGCGTACCGAGCGAGGATAAATGCCATGCGAGGCCTGAGGACTGGAACATATGATATTGTTTATGATCTCTATATGTGTTAGCATGATTATGTGATATTGATTGTATGTGTATAGAGGGTGAGGCCTAGTGACAGATGAGGCCTGAGAATAACAGATATGTATACCGAGCGGGGCTCGATGTCGGGCGGGGCCTGATGCCGGGCGAGGCCCGATGTCGGGCAGGGGCCAAGTATATGATTTATTATGTTTGGTATGGGGTATTTTGGGGAACTCACTAAGCTTTGTGCTTACGATTTTCAGTTTATGTTTCAAGTACTTCTGGTTGCAAAGGGAAGAGCTCGGGTTGACTGCATCGCACACACCATTGGGATTCCGCATATGATACTTTACTCTGATTTTATGACATTTGATACATTGGTTTTGTTTGAGTTGTATGGATGATATTTGGAAATACTATTTTACCTATTTTAAAAATGAAATTTTTGGGACCATATTTTGGGATGTTACATGAACCAAGAAAGTACAAAATGGAGATTTTTCTACATCTGAAAACTCATATGTTTTTTCTATCTTAAATATATAGGTTTGTCAATTTCACGTATATGGCTCAAGTTTTTTCTAGATACTGGGCCAATTTCATAGATGTCATATGTGAAGTTGAAGGCCATTTTGATAAGGGATAATGACTGCAGAGGGTAACGAACTTTCAACTTTGTTCACATTTAGTCATTGATTTTTTTTCGTACTTGATTTACCCCTGAATTATTTGAAATTGTTCACATTTTACCCTTATGACCGGTTATAACCAGTCATAAAGGTAAATGTGAACAATTTCAAATAATTTAGGGGTAAATCAAGCACGAAAAAAGTTTAATGACTAAATATGAAAAAAACCGAAAGTTAGTTACCCTTTCAAGACATTATCCTGTAAATGGTTCTAAATATTATTAGGAATGAGCACAAGCGAAATATGAAGGTCACAAAAGTGAGGATGTTGTAGTAATCGTGTGATATACCTTTATTGTGTAAGGTACTAGAAACAATACTTAGAAATACAATAGAAGCGACTTTAATCACATAGAAATTAAGGAAACAAAGATCATGGTGGTTTCAGACATATACTTAGGGCATAGGCAATAGTTTTCAATCTAGAGGGTGGAGACGGTCGTTGTAGATTGTGCGAGGAAGAGATAATGTATGATAAAGAAGTGTGAAGATAATGCAATGTTAATTTTGAATGACATTTTTCTCTTTACAAGGACACGAGCTTTGATTAGAGAGTGTGGATGCATAAGATCAAGGTCGTGGAGTAGTACATGAGTAGTCTAGGTGCTAGTTGCCTTTACATTGTTTGTGCATTTTGCTTAGTTTTCATTGTTTTTACTTTCAACTTGTTTTGACAATACTTTTCTTCTTAATTATTACTTGTATCTATCTTTTCTATTTGTATGTTGGTTCTATATGTACCTTCTAACCATGCTCATTTTGATTTTCGATCTATTTTTTTTGTTTTATTACTCGTATGTGTCTTTTTGTCTTTGTGAAACTCTACTGATTATTCTTCTTTGTGGGTTGACGTTTCACTAATACATGAATAAAGAAACTCTAGTTAAAAGTTTATCTCATTGACTAGGATTAAAATAATAACTGCAACATGGTTAGGTGATATGCATTCTATTCTGTAATACTCCTTACAAACATGACACAAAACAAATCATAATGACTGAAATCAAATTTATTAATCTAAATAATTGCTACCAATAAGCAAAATAAACTAAGGGATGATTACAAAAAAGAGACGATGACTTGAAATGGTAACAAACTTTCAATTAGTTCATATTTAGTCACTGGATTTTTTTTCGTGCTTGATTTACCCATGAATTATTTGAAATATTCACATTTTACCCTTATAACCGATTGTAACCAGTCATAAGGGTAAAATGTGAATAATTTCAAATAATTTTCAGAGGAAAATCAAATATGAAAAAAATTCAATGACTAAATATAAAGAAAATGGAAAGTTGGTTACCCATTTAAGTCATTATCCCCTTTGGATAAACTATCTAATTTTTATTTAAATTTAAAAAAAAACTGAAATTTATTTGATTTGTTTTATTAAAATAAAAAATAAAATCTTAAAAGAATCTTTTTTGGAATTTACGGAGAAACCAGGAATATTGCAATAAAGTAAAAAAGACAACTTTACGGGTTGGTTTGGAGCGTTGAGATAATGTAGGGGTCAGAGTGATAATTCTGTGGTTTCGACGTGGCGACACGCTTGCGTTTCCCAGGAACTTTGTCCTTAAGTCCACGTCATTCCCATTATTCGGCTTCTATTTTTTTTCCATACGGCAAAGTATGATCACGACTTGGATTATTTGAAGGGTAATTCTTTACTATATCGAAAAAATCTTAACAATCATGTTTTAAGTTATACAAACATTATTCACTTTGAAATATTATTAAATTCGAATTATTTTAGACATTAGTTGTATTTATTTGAAGAAAGAAACGTATTTTGTATTTATATTACACAATTTGATCTTATCGTTTTATACGGTAAAGTTTGAGGACCTGACCCTATAATAAATACGAAGCACCCAGCGACTGTCATTTGTCGTGAACTTTACGCCCTAATCTCTCACTATAAAAAGGCGATCATTTTTCTTCTTTCCAAATCAAAATCAACATAAAAAGTCTATTTTCAATGGCGTTCAAGCAAAACATAGTTCAGCGGATGTTCAACATCTGCAATAACAAATTCTCCAATCAGACGTTACGCAACTGCCGCATTTCACCGTCCTCCGCCGCCGCTCAAGTTTTTATGCCACCTAATCCTGACAGAATGGCACCAGATCCGGGAGACGATACGATTTTTCGGAGGTTTCTCCAGCGACGGCCGCTGGACCTATCGTCCTCCGCCATGCCGGAGATCCTTCGGTCGAGAGGAGAGAGCATGTTGGAAAAACTAAAGGAGATGGACATTACGAGAGGCCGGATCCGTCTCGATGTGATCTCTCCTCCGATGGAGAGATCTTCCGAGGGGGAGTTGACGGTGGCGCACGCTAAGAAGATCCTTAGGGTTTCGCAAATCGAAACGTTGAAATCGAAGTTGAGAAGCTCTCGTAAAAATCACGTCTCGTATGACGAGTTCGTTGAGATTTGTATGGAAGGATGTTCGAACAGAGATCAAGGGTTAGATTTGGCCAAAGCCCTTGACGATTCTGGTTCCGTCATCGTATTAGGAAACGTTGTTTTCCTCAAGCCTGAACAGGTTGGCTCCTCTGTTCACCCTAATTTCGTTACATTCAATATATAACCCGTAGAAATTGCTGCTGTTATTCTTATCATTTCGGTTTTTACAGAATCGAAATGCTAGGCATCTGGGGTTTGTTTAGGGTTTGCATATAGTTTTTGATTTATTTCATCAAAGATAGACTGAAATCTGATTGGTTCTTTTGTATTATTGTGTGATTTTTTCTCCACAGGGAAGACTGAGAAACCAGATCTAAAAACGTGTAGTCTCACACGTTTGTTTGAGGTGGAGACCGACCTAGAGACTACTTTGATCCATCTTCCTCCCAAACCACCCCCAGAAAAATCAAACTTTTTTCTTGCCCGATCAAAACACGGCAAATCTTTTCCGAAATTAAAAAAAAATATATTTTTTTATCATTCATTCTATTTACAATCACAAACAGTCGTTAGTTTTTCAAGATCAAAGAGGAATGCTTGGTGTAATTCTTTTCCAAAATGGAATTACCTTTTACCAGATCAATAGTCCAAGTGCAATTTAAGATGATAATATGATGTTCTGGATTTTGGAAAAGTTATGGAGTTTTTTTGACTATTTTTTTTTTTCAAGAATTGGGTGTGGTCAATATTGGGGCTTCTATGTTAAGCTGGTTTCAAGAAAAAAACAAATTAGAATACGTGTTTGTCTTTTATTCACCGAGTACCTTTTTTGGCGAAATTAGTTTAGGGTAAAAAAACATAGGAAATTGTCAAGTTTGATAAAAAGAGTCTCGAAGAATGTTGTGAAAATGTGAATTTGGGTGTGAGTCTTGTTTTACCAACCATTTTGTATTACAGGTGGTGAAAGCAATCAATGAGTTGCTGCCGGCGACACATAACCCACCGGTTGAAGAATTGGAAGAGATGGAGAGGTGGAAGTCAGCCATTGATGCTAAAGCTAAAAAAATGGTGGAAAGAGAGCTATGGGGTGGTCTAGCCTACCTAATGATTCAGACAGCTGGGTTCATGAGGCTCACATTTTGGGAGCTTTCATGGGATGTGATGGAACCTATTTGCTTTTATGTCACATCAATGTATTTCATGGGTGGATATGCTTTTTTCTTGAGGACAGCAAAAGAGCCTTCTTTTGAAGGCTTCTTTCAGAGCAGGTTTAGTTCAAAGCAGAAGAAGTTGATGAAACGTGAAGGGTTTGATGTTGAAAAATACATGGAGTTGAGAAAAGCTTATTATCAAGAGCCATGGCCAAGGGAAAAGTCATTGGTTGGTGAAGCGACTAAAAAGTCATTTACTTGAACATAAAATTTATATTGTAGATGAAATAGAAATTCTATTTAATCCCCCCCCCCTGAAAATCTCCCTATATTTCTTTTCATCCCCTCGGCATTCTGTCTTGAGTTTTGTTTCTGTTCTTTTTTTCTATTTCTAAACATTAAGTAAAGAAATTATGAAAGGGGAAAAACTGCAAAATTGAGAGAGCTGCAGTTCTATATTTAAAGGGTTGATGAGAATATTGTTGGATACAGTTAACCAAATTGCAAGACTAACAAACGAGAATATAACATATTCAATGGGTAATTATTATTGTTATTGTGCCTTCAACTTTCTGCTAATCTTTATTTGACAATCTTGGGTCCAATTTTTATGATTCACACAAATGGTAAAAATGAAATGTCAAGAAAACAAAACCTAATGTTTCTCCATAACATGATCCTGTTGAGGGATTTACAGATCATCCAAATGGAACTCATATTGTTAGGATTTATTTGAACTGATAATAAGGATACATAAGCATCAATTGCTGCACAAACTGAAGCATAGCATCGAATATGCAAGGATTAGACAATCATTTCAAGATAATATTGATGCTATTGTATATATCTTGAATACAATGATACAATCTGTTTCAGAATTTTGATCATACAAAACATCATTCAACCTTAACGGTATTTAAAAGGCAAATAGATGAACCATGGATTACTGTAAAGGTGCTTACGTGGCACTGGCCACCAACCTAGATAATTGCCATTGTAAGCAGAGGATTACTTCCACCGCCATCCTGCAACAATAATTTGATCACCACCAATCATAAGATGAATAAGGAATGTTCATACCCGTCGAAGCTTCCTGTAAGTGTACACTTGCATCAAACCCGAGGCACGTGAAGGCAAATTGAGTGAAGTAGCCAAAAATGTTGACATAAACAACTCAGCTCATATATCACAGACATAATTACCAAACACATAAAGAGAAGCAAACAACAAACATGAAAGCCTAGAAAGATTCAAAATCCTAGAAATCCAGCTTAAATAGGTTACCCATCGAAGCTTCCTGAAAATTCTATTTGATTGACTTGAACCTAGCTGACCTGAAAACAGATTTCATTCACATTAAAGTTTAAATTGAAGAGGGAATTTTGGTTATAACAATAGAGTGGACAAAAATCATGACTGATGGCATTTAAGAAATCTGTGAAAGTTGGGCTGGCTTCTTCTTCCACCTGAAAATCATGACTATCAACATTACATGCTATGTTCTATTGCACAGAAAGAATAATACATTACCTAACTAAATCTTTATATATTTTGAAAATACAACCTATAGATGTGATCATAGAACAAGCTTTGCAATATCAAGATCAATGTGATTGTTGTGTAAAGCTGTGTTTGTTTAATGTATTAGAAAATTAATTATGTGAATTTAAAGATGATCTGTACAGGAGAATGTCTAATTCAACATTGAGAAAGTTGAAAGAACTGATTTCAGAGCATTAAATAAAATCACAAGGAGTAGTCATAGTACATACCATTGCATCCACAACTAAGATACAAGAAAGATAAGATAAACTGAATCTGTAAATATATGAAAGGACTCACAGTTACAGGTTCAAAAAGACAACCCTGCACCATTAAAACAAATAACGAGTTAGAAGGCTTAAATGTTGGAAATGGAAATTGGAAGTAGGAATCACACAGACATAATCACAAACACCAGAATAGGAGGTTGGTGAGGGAGGCGTCGTGGCTGGATTTAGTACGGAAGTTGATGATTCCGCCACACCCCAACAGATAAGGCTTATGATTCCCAATACAAATGAATTTATTGCATAGACAATCTTTGAAATACTCGTGAATCCACAGCCCAAATCCCAATACATTGCTTATTCTCTTCAATACAGTACGATATTGAACTATTCCTACTGCTACCATACAACAGCTCCATGTCTGTATCACTGCTGGTGCAGTGATCTGTAACAAAACCAACATTCAGATTCAGATATGAGAGAGAGAGAGAGAGAGAGAGAGAGAGAGAGAGAGAGAGAGAGAGAGAGTAAAATGAACTATGACTGAAGCTGTGTTGGTGATTAGGCTTATCAAACAAAGAAAGTAACAGAGTAGAAGATACTAGAATGCTTAATGTTTATTGAATGAGTAACATACTAGCTGAATGATTTCAGTGGTTTACAAGAGTTTATTTTTGACTAATTGATTGTGAAGCTAAACACTAACTATTAAATTGATGAACTAAAACAGAATTGAGAAAAACTAGCAACGTCTCTTTTAACGTCCAAGACTTCCATGTGCCTTTTTATTCTCCTGATTACCCCCTTAATGTTAACATTCTTCTTCAGATCTTCAACACCAATAAATGCCCTCATTTCACCAAACTTTATCTGTGGCATTGCTTTTGTCAGTACATCAGCTTTTTGTTGATCCCCACTTACATGCTCCATATGAATATGTTCTCTTTCAACACACATACGAATGAAGTGATACTTTGTGTCTACATGCTTACTCCTCCCATTGAAGACACGGTTCCTTATAAGGGCAATAGTGTATTGGTTGTCTATCAATAGCTTCACCCTTTGTGCTTTCTTTCCAACCAGGTCACTGAACAAGTTCCTTAGCCACAATCCTTGACACGCAGCTGCAGTTGCAACCATATATTCGGCTTCACAAGAGCTAAGAGCTACAGTCCGCTGCTTCTGTGATGCCCATGTTATTAAATTTCCTGAGTAGTAGTAAGTTACACCTGTGGTTCCTCCCTCATCTTCTCGGTCATTGCTATAACTGCTATCACTATAGCCTACAAACTTACCATCACCACCCCTGTGATACATCAATACATACTCGATTGTTCCCTTCACATATATGAGGATATGTTTTATGGCTGCATAATGGCTTTGCTTGGGATCTTGCATGTACTTGCTCACAACTCCAATGCTATAATTCAGATCAGGTCTTGTGTGAACCAAATACCTTAGGCTTCCAACAAGTTTCCTGTACTTTGTTGCGTTCATAGGTTCCTATCTTTATCCTTGGTTAATTGAAGCTTGGGCTCCATTGGGTACTGTGAACTGTTGCAATCTTCCATTCCTGATACTTTTAAAATCTTTTCTGCATATCCCTTTTGTGTGAGCATTATTCCATCTTTCCCTTGAGACACTTCAATTCCTAGATAGTAGGATAGCAATCCCAAATCACTCATGTCAAACACCTGTTTCGTGTTCTTCTTGAACTCTAGGATTCCCTTTTCACTTGAGCCACTAACTATATGGTCATCCACATATACACCAACGATGAGGATTAGGTTGGGTTCGTGTACCTTATAGACAACTTTCATGTGCACGTCAGGTAAATCTGTCTTCACATTCTATGCTCTTGGTGTCTGTCTTAACCCGTAAAGTGCTTTGTGTAGACGGTAGACCATGTTCTCTTTTCCTTTTACTAAAAATCCAGTTGGCTGAGAAACATATACCTCCTCCTTGATATCTCCATGTAGAAACAAAGACTTGACATCTAAGTGATGCACATGCCAGTTTTCTTTTGTTGCTAAAGCAAGGATCAGTCTAATGGTTTCCAATCGTGCGACTGGTGCAAATACTTCTTCAAAATTGATACCCTTTTCTTGGACATACCCTTTGGAGACTAAACGGGTCTTGTGTTTGATCACATTTCCAGCTGCGTCTCTTTTCAACTTGAATACCCACTTTAACCTTATTGCTTTACAATTTGGTGGCAATTTGGTTAAAGTCCAGGTGTTATTCCTTTCAATTGACTTCAGTTCTGATTCCATGGCTTGCTTCCAATCCTTTTCAATAGATGCTTCTTCAAACATCGTGGGTTCATCATCGACCAATAATAGCTCTCAATTTCTTTCAGACAGTTCCTGTATCTTTGCATCATCCAATCTTGTATTCTCATAAATTTCATTGATTGGTTGAAAGCCTTTTGCTGAAGTGTCATCGTATGAAGCTACTGACCCACTTCCTTCATACTTTCTCGAGGTTTGACTTGGAAGGGTTGATTGTGAACCGAATCTAGGCGAGTTTTGTTGGTGATTTTATATCACTAATGTTATTTAAGTGTAATGGGGTTAATTTGTTGATCAATGTCACTTTGACAATTATTGAACAAATCGGTATGGTGCTGTAACACCTGATTCCTGGTACGTATTTAATCCAAGAATTTCATGTATTTCCTCTGGGACTCGACGAGTTGGTGGCCCAACTCGTCGAGTAGAGTCGTGATCCGCGGGAAGTTTAAGTGACCTACTCGACGAGTCGGGAGACCGACGCGGCGAGTAGGTGCTGTTTGAGTGAAACCCTAAATTTGAGGGTTTGCACCTTATTTAAACAACTTATCTCAGCCTCCATCGTCCCTTATACTCCCAGAAGACATCATATCGAAACCCTAGCCTTGTTTGAGTATTCTAAGGCCATTTTGGTGCATTTTGGAGGATTGTGAAGCTTGAGAAGGGGAAAGGAGCTTGGGAGTTCAAGTTGGAGCTTGGAGATCCAGAGATTGTGTTCCATTTCCAGCTCATTTAAGGTAAAAAGCTCCTGCCTTGATCTTTCATGTGTTTATTCATCTTTAGGACTTGGATTTTAGGCATATTTAGGGCTTTCTAAGCCATTTTCGGGTTGTGAAGTGTTATAGGGAGCATTGACTTCAGATCTTGGTCATTGGAGGGGTCTCATGGCATAAAGGTGCCAACTTTATGGCCATGAGAGCCCCATGCATCTTTTAGACATCATTTGTAGTCCTTTAGGGCTAAAAGACCCATGCATGGACGTAAAGTTCGTGGCTTTACGTGCTATATCGGCCCTAGGAGGTAAGATCTACCCTTTGGATGAGATGAGCTTGACAGAAATCGAGTTTATGGACATGGACTTTAGTGGACTCGGCGAGTTGTTCTTGGGACTCGACAAGTCGGATAGTGGTTCTCCAACCCTTGATGTTTTGAGGGTCTGGTTGAGTCTAGAGAAGGACTCAACAAAGATGGACGAGATTATAGACCTGGGAATCATGGGACTCGATGAGTGTTTAAGTAGACTCGGCGAGTCCAAGGCAATCTCCCAATATTTGAAGATGGACTCGACGAGTTGTTCATACAACTCAGCGAGTCATAGACTGGACACATTTATATGAGGGAGATGAACTCGACGAGTTCAAGGATGAACTCGGTGAGTCGGTTGAAGATGGTCCCTATAGTATGATTGAAGGAGAACCCGTCGAGTTCTTGCTAGACTCGACGAGTAGAGTCGGGGGTGGTATCGAGTTAAAGGAGTATAGA